AAAGATCGAAAATAATCATAGACGAATTCTGCAGTCTTTTTGCGTGTTAGAAACGGAGTTGGCGACACTAAAACTGCAATATGATGTTTGTGTAGCAATAATACATAAGACGTATATTTTGACATGTCTTCAGTACCGATAAAAAGACCGATAACGTCGGAGCTTAACGGTACCACGGTCTTTAATAATTCAGCCCCCGGTACCCATCCCTATTGCTGTCACTGTTTAGCAGAAGGAGTTTCCCTCTCATGCTAAACTTTAAACTAAAGGAGTGATTCTGAAGCGTCGTCTCACCCATGGCCTCTCTGGTGTTGACGGTGGGAGACGGCAGAACTCTGGAGGGAGTCGCCTGAACGAAGCCCAGAGACGAGTTGGGGGTGAAGTGAGACAGGTTACAAGATCCTTCCTGAGACACTGAGAGACAGACAGGGGGAGAGAGAGAGAGAGAGAGACAGGTTACAGGACCCTTCCTGAGACACTGAGACACAGACAGGGAGAGAGAGAGACATACAGACAGACAGAGAGACAGACAGAGAGAGAGACAGAGACAGAGACAGTCAGAAGGACAAACAGGGTGTACTGGGCGTTTACTCACTGTTGAACCTCGCCTCAAACTCTGGGGGGTGAGCGGTTTCCCTGAGAGGAGAGAATATATAGAGAAAGGAATTAGAGAGGCTCTCTCTAAAGGTTTCTGTGCAGTCTCTAAACTGGATAACCAATCACAACAAAGCTGGCTAGCTAACCAATCAGAGCAGCTCTGGTTTCAGACAGACACTACATACTGATATACACCTGAACATCAGCAGGAGAGGACTCTTTAAAGTAGAGACACTACATACTGATATACACCTGAACATCAGCAGGAGAGGACTCTTTAAAGTAGAGACACTACATACTGATATACACCTGAACATCAGCAGGAGAGGACTCTTTAAAGTAGAGACACTACATACTGATATACACCTGAACATCAGCAGGAGAGGACTCTTTAAAGTAGAGACACTACATACTGATATACACCTGAACATCAGCAGGAGAGGACTCTTTAAAGTAGAGACACTACATACTGATATACACCTGAACATCAGCAGGAGAGGACTCTTTAAAGTAGAGACCTGAGACTGCCAAGGCACACNAACAGAGCTAGATCTACAGGTGTCTTATATAGAGAACCGCAGTGACGCGTCGTAAAACCCGGAAGTAAGTTAGCATTTTTAGCACTTCCGGTTCAGGAAGGAACCGGAAGTGCTAAAAATGCTAACTTACTTCCGGGTTTTACGACGCGTCACTGCGGTTCTCTATATAAGACACCTGTAGATCTAGCTCTGTTTATTTCACATGAGTTCCAGTGTTGCAGCTTTTCACGGCTCCCCCTGGTGGATCCATGATCCATTGCAGCTGGTTTAATTAAAATGACATTTATTTATCAAGGGGGCGTATCAAGTCCTACGGGGGGGTTTTCCTTTTCAGCAGGGGCCCACCCCGTGCAGATAACGGACCCGCACGGGTAGGCGTCTGAAATGAAATGCTACATCTGTAAGGGCGGTAACACGAGCAATTTGTCTAAACATTTAGCAAAAGTGCACCACATCCAGATGGAGGAATGCACCGGGTTTGACTGTCTTTCTAGTAGCTCTGTGGCCGCATCCACGAGTAAAGTTTCCACGTCAGGTGTTATGTATGCTAGCTGCAACACACAGAGTTAACTCAATTATACAAACATGGGTTAATGATTAGAGGTAACTGAGTTATTTATTTTGTTAAAGTTTCAGCTATTCTGTTTACAGTTCTGTCATCAGATTATTTAATA